AGTGGCGCAGGGAAGGCAGACTGGAGCTTGGTGGAAACTTTTTCTTTCAGAGATACACGTACATTTGCAAGAGGTGCCCAGGACATGGGGGGGGGGCACCTCTCTGAGCCTCAGTTTCTTCTTCTGTAAGATGGGGTTTGGGTTTTCTCTCTCATGGGTCACCTCACTACCATTTATCATGTGGTTATAACTGGTTTGGGCCCCAGAGGCCTGAGTTCGAGTTTTGACTTGGCCTCTTCCTATCTGTGTGACCTTGGCAAACGACTTCACCTCTCTAAGCCTCAGTTTCTTTATTTGTAAAAAGGGGGCTAGTCATAGCGATACCACATAGGTTTCTTTGTAAGAGTTATATGACTTGAGACGGATAAAGCCCTTAGTAACTGGCAGATAGTAAATGCTCATTAAACCTCAGACATTGATTTTGATGATGATAACGATGGTGGCCACCATCACCCATGAAAGAATGCATGCCAGGTGTTTAGCATAAAATCTGGCATATAAGGGGGGCGAAAACAGAGTAAGCTGTGATTATTTGTCTATTTTATGTCAGAAACCTTACTAAGACCTTTACACGTTATTCGATTAACTTCCACACTCACCATCTCTCTCTTGTAAAAATTGAAGGGATATTTATCGAGCACGTCCCGGGGGCCAGGCTCTGGGGATAAAGTGAGGCAGGTAACACCACCCGAGGCCACAGAGCTGGTGAGCAGCAGAATTGGGGTTGAACTGCAGCTCTTCTGGACGCTGGGAGCTCTTGCAGTGCCTCTGCCACGTGGCATTTTGCAGGTTGTGGCCTCTGCGCTCAGCTCCGCAGCCACACCCAGGCCGTCTTTCTGGTCCTAAGTCTGATTGGCTGTGTGATGCTACGTAAGTTACCTCCCCTCTCTGGGCCCTCCCAGGTCTCCCATTCATTGATGCCTTCGCCGATCATTCCTTAGCCGTTTTATTTGCCTTCCTATGCTTTATTTTGAGAGGGAGTGAGACTGAACAGATCCTGAAGGATTTAAAAGGTTCACGCTCAGTTGTGTTTCAGAGTAAGTGGCAGATTCCCGATGGAGCCGGGAGGTTCATGATGGGTTAGGGACCAGGTATTTGGGGTATGAAGGAGGTTTAACCTGGGGGTCCCTGGCTCATTTTAAGGTTATGCACCCCCATTCCCACCTCCAACACCACCAGTGCAAGGTGGGTAACCCTAATTACGGCTGCACTCCGGGGCATCCATCTGGTGCCTGACAGTCACTGTCTCCACTTGCTTGAGCCTTTTACTCTCATGGGCCCCTCCTGGAGAGCCCCGCCCCCATTACAGCGTGACCGCCTGGCACTCTTCAAGATTCTGCTTGGATGTCACCCTCTCTGTTACATTTTCACAACCTGCAGAGACAAATCCAGCGCCCCGCTACCTCCCCATCCCCACCCCGCCATCCACAGCACGTAGCCTGCTTCTCACCNTGCCCCCATTACAGCTTGACCGCCTGGCACTCTTCAAGATTCTGCTTGGATGTCACCCTCTCTGTGACATTTTCACAACCTGCAGAGACAAATCTAGCTACCTCCCCATCCCCACCCCGCCATCCACAGCACGTAGCCTGCTTCTCACCAGGTCTATTCGTGGCCCTACTGCCCTTCTTGAACTTGAGCGAGGCCTGGGAGCCCCCCTGCTTCATCACAGACATATCGCTGGTCTCCCCAAAGGCTGTTCAAGTCAATGAAAATGGAGGCTTCAGTGTGTCCGCAAACCTGGCTCTGTCCTTTCCTAGCTGTGTGACCCGAGGAAGNAGTCAATGAAAATGGAGGCTTCGGTGTGTCCGCAAACCTGGCTCTGTCCTTTCCTAGCTGTGTGACCCGAGGAAGCCAGTTAACCTCTCTGTGCAGTCATTTCCAACCCACAACATAATGGTGATAATATCTGCCTTATAAGGATCCTTGGTAATCGGAGCTCCATTTATGAAGCACCAACTGTGCGCCTGCCCCCATGCAGTGTGCTTTGCATACATTATCTAATTTGGGTCCTCAGCCCTCTGTAATTATCTCTGCTCACATTAGTTCTAAATGATGCAATTATTATCGCTACATAACAATACACATGTTCATTTTTGCTCGTGGATATAAACTATGCAGCTCGGGGCCCTGCACATAGTAGGTCCTTTATAAATGATGCCTCGTTAAAATTATCATCTTAAATGCCCACAACACCAACACACCCACCCAGTAGATGGGGAGAAAAGAGTCCCCACACGCCAGGCACACGCCACTATGTCCTCATGACTCGGCAAACACCGCCCAGGGCCTACTAGGGGCCACCCACCCACCTCAGACCACTGCTCAGATGCTCCCTTCCTGGCCACTGTGATAAATAACAATTGCAGACACTTAGGCAGGACTGAGGGGCCCTGAGGACAAAATTATTTTTACTATCAAACCCAAATTGGTTTACTAAAACTGTCAGCGGAAACCAAACGAGATAAATTAAACCCAGCAGCTCTCGGGGCCTCGCGTAACCCTCGCTGGTGAGATGCTATTTTCGCTCCCTCTGTGGGAGGGAGGAGGTGCCAGGTCCAGATGCCACTCTGCCAAGTGTGTGCCAGAGTTTGCCAGAGAAAGCCTCGCGCTGGCAACTGGGGGACCGGGCTCCCTTCTGCAAAGCTTTAGTCCTATTAACTGCTCAGCACCCTTCTTCTGCCACCCAATTGGGGCGAATCCAGGCTCCCCAGTGCAACCTTCGAGGCCCTGCCTGGTTCCCCTGCTGCCTGGCGGTCCTCCCTCAGCGAGGCCACTCCTGTATCGCTGAGCTCCGGATACACAGGGCATCCTCCAACTCCTTTCAAGCTGGTGAACATCCCAGACCCTAGAGACACAGCAGCAGGGTTTGAATCCTAGCTCCACCACTTCCCAGCCGGGTGATCATAGTCCCTCTTCCGTGTAAGCCTCAGTTTACTCATCTGTAAAATGGAACTACTCACGGAACACCCCGCATCTGCCTGTTGTGAAGGCGCCTGGGATGGGAATGCCTGGGATGCCCTAAGCGCTCAGCACATGCTCGATACTGTGGACAAATAAGAACAGAATGGTGCTTTCCTGCCTCTGGACCTTAGCACATGCTATTCCTTTGGGCTGGAACACTGTTCCCCTCCATCTTTGCCCGTCTTCTGTCTATCTTTCAGGTCTCAGCATAGACGAGGGCTTCTCTAGTTTGGCACTATGGACATTTTGGGCTGGATAATTGTGGTAGGGCTGTCTTGTGCATTGTAGGATGTCCAGCATCATCCCTGAACTCCCCCCACTAGATCACAGTTCCCATCACCAACATAAACTCTACCCCTGAAGGAACAACCATCAGAGCCTTTCCAGTGCATAAAATAATTGTGCTTGGTTCATAGAAGACACTCAAAAAAGTAGGTCCTGAATGAATGAACACTTTACTCCAGACTCTAGGAGTCAGAGAGACAAGAATCGGAGAAAGGGGAGAAATGCTCACCGAGGAGTGAGTGAATGAGGCAGTGGGATGCTTAAAACCTGCCTCCAGCCACCACGGAAACATCGATGTTCCAAGACCCTCTTGACAGCTGAGAAAAACTGGAACCCAGAGAAAAGCCCAAAGTCACATGGCTGGGAGGTGGAGGAGATGGGATTCTGACCCAGGCTGGCCTGGCTCCAGGTCCCCAAGAGGCATCTGTGCACGGTCTGTAAATCTTTGACTCAACTGGAGCAGGAGGTCCAGGGACAGCCTCAGAGGACACTTCCCCTGTCTCTAAGGGGCAGCCTCAAAAGACAGTCACTAATAATTTTGCAAATAACTTCCCTCTTCACTTGCACGGCTCCTCTGCAGAGCTAGACTGCCCCGAGTCCTGCCTCCCAGCCAACAGGGTTTGCACATCAGAGCGCAGATCTGACCCCCGAGGTCGCGGCTGCATCCAGAGAGGCTCTTCAGAACTTGGCACTCCCCTGTCCCCAGCCACAGTGCCTGGGTCTGTCACAAAGCCCTTTCTCCTGCTTCTCCAGACACCACCATCTGTCTCAGTCCCCTTCTCAACTCCGTCTCAGCAGGGATGCAGAAAGAGCACCGGGGAGCGGCCACAAAAGCCTGGATTCAAATTTCAGCTCAGCCACTTGCTAGCTGGGTGGTCCTAATCCAGGTGATAGGATAATCACTTTGCCTGGCAGGGTATTTTTTGTGTGTGAGAATTACCTAGGATATATATATGTTTAGAGCTCTCATTGGTGCATCTGGTTCAGAGTAGGCACCCCCCGATCGCTGCGAGTGCCCTGGTCCCTGGGGTGTTGGTGGTGGGGAGTTTTAATGGGAACATCTAATAGGCACCACCACTGAGTACAGGAAACAGCCACACAGCCAGTAAGTCCATTCACTACAGCATTTCTTCCCAGAGAAATCATCTCCTGAGCATTTACTCTATCTTAGACCCTGGAACAGAGTTACATCAGGCCAGGCCCTGACTGCAAGGACCTCCTGGTGTAGCTGAGGGAGGCAGATAGGAAATAAACTACTGCAGAGAGTATGTGTTACACTGTCCCGCTCCGGGCAATCCTAGACATTCAGTCCCTTGAAAGTGCTGTGCTTGCTCTGGCCACAGGGCCTTTGCATATTCTGTTCCTTTTGGCTGCATTCGCTCCAACTTATCCTTTAGTCCTGAGCTTTAGCATCAGATCCCCAAGGAAGGCTTTTCTGACCTTCCTCTTTATATCAAACCCCCGTTACGGAATCTCATAGCCACACACTCATGCTTCCACCAATGACCAGAGCTCCAGCACACAGCCACTGGTGCATTTCCTCACGGAGTGCCTGCTTCTTCAGTAGGCAGGCTTTTCTGAGCACAGGGACTTTCTCTCTGTGTGCATGATATAGTTTCCTTCACCCAGTTCTCTGCACACCCCCTGGCACATAGTAGATGCTTATTTAATATTGGTTGAAAGAATGAAGTAGGACCAGTTTCTTCCCCAGTCTGAATGGGTCGGGGGCGGGCCTGCCAAGAAACACTCACAATTGGATATCTAAGAAGATCCGTTTCTCCTCCCCCACGTGGATCTTCCAGATACAATCTTCACCTTCCGCATACGGCTCTGGCCAGTTTGGGGACAGCACCACCCCAGCCACCGCAGACAGCTCCCCGCCACACATGGCTGTAAACGACACAGACAGACAGACAGACACACTTTATTTATGAGGAAGCCAATACGGCATAGCTCATAGCCAATACGGGTGTGGGCTCTGAGGTCGCACAGCGGTGGCCTTCCCCTCGGGAAGCCCGCGCCTGCCTGTGGGCGGCTGAATGGGGCTGCACCTGCCTCCCTGAGCAGAGGGCGGCGAGGATGGGCTGCAGTCCTTCAGGACCAAGGACAGAGCCCAAAGTGCCGCGCGAAGCCTCAACAGCCCCGTTCCTTTCCTGTGCAGGGGGAGCGGTGGGCCCGGATTCGAGTCTTGCCTCTGCCGCCAGCACACCCTGTGACAAGGCAGGTAACTTCTCGGAGCCTCAGTTTCCTTTCTCTGTAAAGGGTTGTTCTGAAGCCTAACTGAACTCACGCGTGTCACACGCAGCACAGTGCCTGGCCCAAGGCAAGCGCTCGGAAATTCCTCGTTAACGCAACTGTGAGGGGCCCCGGCCCCGAACTGGAAGCAGAGATACGAGCGTCCCTGGCGCCTGGCCCTTTAAATTCCGCTCTGTGTTTACCGCTCTGGAAAGTTCTCAAAGTGGCAGAGGCCAGAGCACCAATAAATTCCGCTCTGTTAAACCAGCACATTTAATACAGAGAGCAATCCCTCACCACGGTGGGGCTGTTATTTCACGCCAACCGCCGTCCAGGTGGCGGCTGCCAGGGGCCAGGCTTCTCCCCATCACTCGTGGGGATCCAGGCCCGGGTGGCTCAGCAGCCCTGACTATGGGGAAGCAAGGGGGGCCTGCGGAGAGGGGGTGCAGGGCGCTAAAATCTATGCGGAGATCTTGTCACTGAGCTGTCCCCTATAGGGCCTGCGCCTGGGCAAAGAGGCACCTTTTAAAACTGATCGATTTCCATGCTACGATATTGTGTATCCACTGTGATTACGGTGACGTGTTTACAAAGCAAGTCACCTTTGCATAGCGCGTGGGCCGGAAGAAAGGACACAGCACTGGAAGTGATTTTTATGGAATGGGTAATGGGACTGGACGTGACTTTTTGTCTTTCCATATTTTCCCAATTACCTTTAGTGCTAATGAGCTGTGTTTATGATGTTGGCTTTGAGAATTTCCACTGGGCCGCATGACCTGAAGGTCTCTTCTAGGTCTGAGATCAAGGATTGTAAGAACTCAGAGCCGCTCACCTCTGCACAGGGGCTCCGTGTCATTCCAGTAGGGGTCCCGCACATTGACGCACTCGATGACGGCCGGGCCCTGCTCCAGAGAGTGGCCGGGGTCGCAGGTGAACTCCACGACGGTGCCGATGTTGTAGGTCAGGTCGGATGTGGTGAAGTTCCCGTTCTGAATGTAGGGCTCGTAGCAGTGGCCTTTCTCAAAGGCTGGGGAGGGGGCGCGAAAGGGGGGCAGGAGCTCAGATGAGCCGGGGCCCCTCACAGGGCTGCGTCCTTCCTGACGTTCGGGGGTGCTCCCAGGAAAACACTCACCGACCCTGTGATCTGGTTCCTGCTGACCTGCTGAGGGCCCTCGGGCCATTCATTTGGCTTCTTGGGGTCTCATTTTTTTTTCCATATTTAAAATGGAACTAAGAATCTCTGCCCTCCCAACCCTGCAGAGTTTCCGTGTTTAAATTCCTCTGACTATCCCATAAGGATTCTTTCTATGTCCCATAACTGGGAGCCTTGATTTCTGCCACTTGAAACCATAAGTTTATCTAAGAGAAAGACCACGTTTTCTTAGGAAAGACAGAACAGAAAGCTCCCCAAGGGCATCCCCAAGGGCCGGGGCTGAGCAGGAGAGGCCCCTGCGAATGACTGTTGGAGGCAGAGGCGGCTGGACTCTAAGAGGTCTCGGTGAGTAGGGCAGAGCTTAAGGGTCCAGACTCAAGCTGGACAGAAGTCTTATCTCCACTTTCTCTTAACTGGTGGCCTTGGGCAAGTCACTCAAGTCCCCTAACCTCAGTATACTCATCTAAAAGATAACACCAGCTCTCACGTCGCAGTGCGGTAACCATCGAATGCACACCGGACATAAGACACTGGGCACATAGTAAGTGCTCAGTAAATAGTAGGTGTTGTCATTAGTACAGCTAAGTCTGTTCTTGGAAGTCCAAGGGTCAGTCTGGCCACTGGGTCTCCCCCATACTTGGACAGTCAGATTTCTACTTCCCAGGACCCAGCCCCAGCACCCCCTCAGGCTTCCCCTGACCCCGAACCACCACCCCAGGAGAGGGGGCCCCCCATGGACCCTCACCCTCGAAGCGGATGTTGAAAGATGAGGCTGCCCGCGCCTGGTCGGACGTGAACTCGATTCGGATGCTATTGCCCTCGCTCAGCAGGCCCTCGAAGGGCACGCTCTCGGTTTGAAGGGAGTCGTAGAGAAGAGCGGACTTGTTGGTGAGCCCGCTGTAGACCATCATCCTGCCAGTGGGAGAGGAGAGGGGGGCCCCTGAGAGGCCTTCTCGGGTCACCTCTCATCCCAGGTTTAAATCACAACTTCACCCCTTTCTTGCCCAGAAATGCTTCCCTACCTAATGGAAGCGCTTTTGTTTTCTGTTGAATGCCTGTCCTAGACTCGTGGATTGATTCTGAGGTTGCAGGGACACTGATGTGTAAGATGGAATAAACCACGCTAATGAGTTGATATTCATTATTATTACTAATCGAAAAGTTGGGATTAATGAGCTAATGTCATTCCTGAAACAGGGGTCTATATAGTCCGGCAGTCAGAATCCCGGCTCTGTAACTTCTGTGACTTTGGACAAGGACACTTCACCTCTCTGAGCCTCTGTTTCTTCATCTGTAAAATGGGTACAATTCGGCCCCTAGCAGGCTCTGTCTTTGCTAAGAGCACTGTGTGGGGAGTCAGGGGTCCTGCTTTCCAGTTTCCAATGCCCCACCGACTAAGTTTACATAAGTCTCAACACATCTTGGGCCTCAGTTTCCACAACTGCGAAAGGAGGAATTCGAACATCTTTCCTACCTATCTTACAGGTGGGCTTTGAAAATACGACGGGAGAAAGTGCCCTGAAAAATAAAATGCGTTAGGCAGGATGTTGCTATTCAGTTTTACTGTTCCTCAAACCACCTGATAACTTGACTCTTTGCTAGCCTTGATATTTTAAAGGAAATTATGCACAAGTAGAGAAAAGAATACACAGATTTGTTAAGTTATTTTTATGGATTCATAAACAGGCATCTGAAATCCTCTGAGTTTTGTTTACTGTGACCCATAAAAGGCTTTATATTTTGTTACCCAGCTGAATTTCTAAGGTCACTAAAATGCATAAATGTTGGAGCCACAGTTGGTTCGTTTTGCCGTGTTTCCATGGTGACTTAGAGGCCGCTCCAGGAGTGAGGAGGGACCTCTTTACAGCCTCTGATCCCTGCTGGCTGTTGTATCTTGGAGGCCATGCCCCAGGAATCCTTTTTCGAAGAAATAAAGCTTTTGGCAAAGAAGGTCACTCTGGAGGAAAACCTCAAGGTCTCAGAATCTCTGTAGCTGATTAATCTTCCCAAAATAGCAATTTTCCAGTTATGGTCTCTTGACTGTCTGAAATAGTAATCAGTTTTGTCTCAAATCCATATATAGTCTGTAGTCAAACGGGTTTGGGAAATGCTGGGTTAAATACAAATTAAACATTTCCCCCCTGCAGGACTTGTCAGTGTTTTTGCTGGCTGCCTTTCAAGACAAGGGATAGGGTGCCTGGTGTCTTCCAAACATGTTTGACCAGAGAACCACCTTTCATGCTGCATATTATGGAATGAGAGTTGAGAAAGACTTTATTTTGGGGGGAAAAATCATCCTTAAATCTTTCTTCATATCCCTCCTCTACTAAAAAAACCTCCCATGGCTCTTTAGAAGCAGCCTGGCATTCAAAGCCCAATATATGACCCCAATGTACATTCCCAGCTTTTTCTGAGGTTTAGATCAAGGTCCTATTTCTTCTGTAGCTCTAAGCTCTTGCACCTTACATATTGTGTTATTTTAGCTGTGTTTTTTTTTTCCCTCAAGAAAGTATGTGGAACGAATTAAAGGTAATTGCTCTTTTCTTCTTAGCATGAGTGTCTGTATTTTGTGTGTGTGTTGACTTTTAAACTTGAGGAGCTACTACAAACCTGTCTCCCTGTGGGCACACGTGAGAACTGGTTTTCCCCGGGGGTGGTTAACTCACATCTTCTGTAGGTCAACTTGTACCTTCCGTAGACCTCTCCAGGGCCCCGTGGAAACTACTAGCGAAACTATAGTGCCAGTGTGTCTGGCTCACCTATCATGATTTCAGTAACTTTCGGAAAACACTTATTCTGATTAACTTTCTTCCTTCCCATTCTCATGGTCTAGTACGAATGTAAACTTGGTTTATCTCCAGCGGCACTCAGAAGGGACAGACCCAAGGTCTAAGTGTTAGAATGTGTCCTGCACCAACCGCCCCCAGGCGTGGCTTCTCTATCCGCCTCCAGAAGGAAAGACTGGGAATCTGTTTTTTTTAAAGAGCTCCCTGGGTCATTCTGAGGCTGCCCAGAAGCCCTGTTTCAAAGCTTCATTTCTACACTCCCAGTTTAAAGCTGGGATGTACTGGTAAGAAGTGGTTCAGGGTAGAGCCGGGCTACTGGGCTGGGAGTGGACTCAACAGCTGGGTATAAGTTACTCAGTTGTCTGGTGTTTTCTATAAGAATCCCTTCCTCCCTAATGAGGTTAATGGTCTCTTTGAAACTTTGAAGAAGCCTGGGCCCTGTAATTCTAAGATCCGAGTCTGTTCGGTTCCAGAATTCTAAGGGGCTGGCATTCTGGAAATGTCGTAGATGTCGTTGGCGCCCGACCCACGTCCCTTCAGCACTCGCGGCTCACACGTTCCCTGCTGGCTTTGTCCCCAGAGTCTCTGAGAGTCGGCCAGCTCAGCCAGCTCGGGGGGTGGGAGGCGGTGCTGGGGAGTCTGTGCGGCCGGGAGCATCCTTCGGCCAATGATGGGTGGTAGACACGTAGCCCAGCTCCCTTCCCCTCCAAAGGGGCCGCTCTGAGGCACGCTCGACACAGTTTCCCAGCGATGCCCGGTGGACAGAGCCCAGTCACCCACACAGTCCCCTGCTTAGCAATGCACACGGTCGGGACCCTCTTTTCCCCTTGGCTCACCTTCTCATGCCTCTATCAGTATTTTCTAGGACCAGCTCCCAACCAAACTAGTTCCTCTCATATCTTTGTCACATCTCTGTTTCCAAGGGAACCAAACCCAAGACATTAAGTCTAAGCAGCTAAGGTCTCAGTTTTCAAGACCATTCAAGGATATTCTAGCGTGAGATCGTAGAATGCTACAGTTTTAAGATTCTGGATTCGACGTATGTTATTTAGAGTCTACAGAGATGCTCTCACATAGATGTTGCCTCGTGACTTCTCCTTAGTTCTTTCATGTGCACAAGTCATTTTTTTTTTCCATGTCAACTTCTTATTTTACCAGGACCCAAGGTCCCCTAATTTTCTCCTGTTTTCTGTGAGGCCTAGTATGTGACCGGGCACAGAGCAGGCGCCGGATGAACACTCTCTCCTTGTTCAAGTGCAAAAAAGGGATTTTCAGGAGCCAGAACGAGAGAGCAGGGCAGTGTGGGGGGTCTGGGTTCCTTTCGGCCTCTTGACTTATCCTGCTGGTGACCCAGGGCAAGCCCCTTCCCCTCTGCATGCCCCAGTTTCCTTACCTGGAAAAGAAATGGATCAAAGTTGATCTCTAAGGTCTTTGCCATCCTCTCCAGCTATTCCTTTCCTGACTTCCACGCGCCAGAATTTCAGCCATTTCAAGGTGCCAAATCCCTAGTCACATTCTGACACCCTGGGAGCGAATGAAGCTGGCTGGGGACCGACCCTCAGAGGCTTACCTGTCCTTCTCATGCAGTGACAGCCTCTCAAAGTGGAGATGTAGCTTCTGGCCCTCCGGAGCTTCGATCGTCCACACGCAGAACTGACTCCCGTTGGCGTTTCCAGGGTAACTTGGAGAGAGGACGTGGCCGATGGTGGCGTTGTGCACAGTCCCTCCGCACGGGGCTGGGGGCAGAGAGTAAGGAGGAGTGAGCAGTGACGGGAGAGAGACAGAGAGAGAGAGAGAGAATTTTATTCTCTCCTGATCTTCACCCCTACTCTTTTGTGGGCGAAACAGGATGGCAAGAGAGACCACGGAAAAGCCCTGTCCTCCTGGGTGGGGTTCATCCTGTGTTACAGGCGATCTCCCCCCATTGGAAACATGACCACTTGTGCTCCATGGTAGGGAATGGCTCTGGCTTAAGGCTGCTTCTATGGTGCTGGCTGTGCCCTGGTTCTTAATTATAAAACGGTAATCAAGAAATACATGAATAGCCCGGCCGGCGTGGCTCAGCGTTCGAGTATCGACCTAGGATCCAGGTGATCGGGGTTCGATTCCCGCTCAGGGCACATGCCCGGGTTGCGGGCTCGAGGCCCAGTCGGGGGTGTGGAGGAGGCAGCCGATCAGTGACTCTCTCATCATTGATGTTTCTCTTTCTCTCCCTCTCTCTGAAATCAATAAAGATATATTAAAAAAAACCAACAACCAAAAAACCCCCAAACAAACAAAAATCCGGAGCTGATGAAGGTGATGGGAAATGGATGCTCCCATTCGGGACTGGGTAGAAGGCAAATTGCATGACCTTCCAGGAGAGCAACCAGCTGAAACATCTACAAGGTGTTTTCAAATACTTTGACCTAGAATAAATTCCCAGAACCTCAGTTTCTAAGAAAAGACTGAGAGGTTTTCACAGAAATTTATGAATGAGGGTGTCCATGCCTAGATTTTTCCCCTAAGAGCCAAAAATGAGAAACAACATGAATATCTACTCACAGGTACTTGGTAAAATAAATACATTCCATTCACACAGTTGTAAAAGACCATGTCCTCAACGAATACATGAGAGTATAGGAAAATGCTCACTATATTTTAAGTAAAAAAATGTTAGAGAATGGTCTGCTATAGCTATTTCAATGAGCTATATGCAAGGGTCAATTGACACCATAAATATAAAAGTGATTTGCTCCTAATGTCTATACTTTAGTATTTCTTGAAAAAATTTTTTTTAGCCCTGGCCAGTGTGGCTCCCTTGGTTGGAGCATTGTCCCATACATTGAAAGGTCACAGATCTGATTCCAGGTCAGGGAATATGCCCGGGTTGCGAGTTCGATCCCTGGTCTGGGCAAGTGCGGGAGGCAGCTGATCGATGTTTCTCACATCGATGTTTCTCTCTCTTTTCCTCTCCCTTCCTCTCTCTAAAATCATAAAAAAGCATGTCCTCGGGTGAAAATTAAATTTTTTTTTTTTTACCAGAACCATATACTTTTATCATAAAAATCTACTAAATATTAAAGATGATTGGTGAACTGTGAAGAGCTATGCACGTGCACAGAGGTGGTGCTATTCTTACTCTCGGCAGATACTTGGTTCTCATGAAATGATTTTGGGGGACCATGGAACTAATAAGGGCCTGCAGTAGGAGAGAAAGGTAGATCACTCTCTGCTCTGGACTCTGGGGTGACATATGGCAGAGACGTCGCCAAGAAGCCCTGCTCTGGAGGTTCACACCCGGCCTGGGCCACGTATCTGCTGTGCACCCGGGACAAGCTACCGAAGCTCTCTGAACCCTGAGTTCGCTGCAAAATGGTGATAATAATTCCACCCTCCTTAGGTAACCGTGGTGAGAAACCAACGAAGCGATGCGTGTAGAGAGCTTGGCACAGTCCCTGGCACAGAGCAGGTGCTCAAAACATAGCCAGGATCCTTGTTCTGTGGCTCAGGAGCTCCGGAGATGGAGGACACTGTCCGTGATGGGGCGCCGGCCGTCCCTCCTCCCCGAGCTGCCCCTCATTGGCTCCTCTCTGTTCCCCTTTCTTGGCTTATTAAGCCGACTGATAGCTCTGTTTGGTTTCAATTTGCCAGCCGTGGCTCCCCATCCATCTTTCTTAGCACAAATTGAAGCTTAATTCCTCCTTGATTTCACACATAGATACAAATTAACGGGAGAGAGGCGCAGAGACCAACTGCCCTATGGTTTGGGTTTTTTTTTCTTCTTTGTTTAAAAGAAGAAAAATTCCGAAGGGCCTTGGGGGAACACTACTGCAACAATTAAATCTCAGAATTTATCACCAGCGCTCATTGGCCTTTCGGATTCCACCGGTTATGATGCCTGGAGGGCAGGAATCACGTTTATTGTCCCAAGTATTCTCCTTGTACATGGCTCAGGGCCTGGCACATAGTAGGCACTCAGTTAATAGGGCAGCCTAGACTCTCCTGGTCACCATCAGGACTTTTGAGAGTCTCTAACAGGGTTTTGCTGTTTCGATAGCTGAGGGTGGGCCAGGATCTGCCGCTGGTGCAGGGACAGGGTGGGACAGCCCAGTGTTTCTCGCCCGGGGTGAGAGCCTAGCCTAAGGCCAGTGTCCACGGCCTGGCTCAGGGAGAGGGCTCGGCCCCTCCCCTCCTCCTGCACCCTCCGCGTCTGTCCGCCGAGGCCGCAGTTACCTGAGCAGACGGGCTCGTGGCTGCTCCAGTGGGGCTTGGAGGCGTTGATGCAGGTCAGCGTCTTGGCGCCCTGGAGCTCATAGCCCGGGTGGCAGTGGAAGTGGGCCACCCCGCCCGAGTGCAGGTCCATCACCGTGACCTCCCCGTAGTCCGGCCGGCGGGGAAAGTTGCAGCTCAGCATGAAGGCTGGGAAGAAACCCAGAGGCAGACAGTCATCCCTCTGAGGGCGGAGACTTTATTATTTAGTTAAAGAAGCACCTAGATTATGATCTCAGAGATTAAAACAGTATTTTGACAGCTGTAATTCAATATCACTGGTTTCCTTTTGAACTGATATAGTTTTCTTTTCTTTTCTTTTTTTAAATTTTATTATTGTTTAAAATATTACAGATGTCCCTTTTTCTTCCCAATGACCCGTTCCACCCCATTCCTTCTCCCTCCCCAGGCCCTCTCCCCACCATTGTCCATGTCCTTGGGTTGTGTACATATGCACATAAATTCTTTGGTTACTCTCTCCCCTTCCACCCACCCGCCCTCCTCCATCCCTCTGACATTCGTCAGTCTCATCTATGCTTAGTTTTTTATGCTCTTGAAAAACCATTATTTTTAGAAAGGGTCCATAGGTTTTTCCCAAAAGGCCAGAGGGACCCCTGGGAGAAAATGTTTGAGAATGCTTGGCGTCAGAGGGAAACTGAGGCAAACGGCTCCATCCCACCGGCCTGGGCCCGATCCTACCCTGGTAGTGCAGCTGGAAGGTCCCCAGGCCATCGTCCTGGAAGGTCCGGAAGTAGACAGAGATGGTGTTGGTGGGGCTTCGGATCACCTGGCCCTCTACCAGGAGCGTCTGGTTGGCCAGGATGGTCAGGGTGGGGCCGTCCACCCCGCGGATGGAGAGCAGCTCCCCCTCGGACAGGTTGACACTCTTCACCTGGGACAGTCAGGGTAAGTCCTGTGTGAGCCACAGCCTTCTTAGGCTGCAGGCTGCCGGCGCAGTGCCCCTCAACCAGCCCCTAGTCGACGGGACAGGGACCCAAAGCCCCAACACTGGAAACATCTAGGTCCCTCTCATGTCCTCAAAGGCTGAGGGGACCGAGTGAAGCCAAGCTGAATGGCAGAGGCCTTGCAAGGATCTGTGAGTCCCCACAGCTGGGTCGTGTGACAGAGGCCCTGGGCCCTGGCAGCTAAGTTCTCCTGGAGCTGGTGGGTGGGGACAGGGGTTTGATTAGCTTGTGCTTGAAGCCCAGTCTCCAGGGACACAGGGGAAGGCATCCCCCAGAATGCAAGCTCCATGTTGCTCAGTTCACCACCCCCAGGCATGTCTCTTGAGTCCATGTTAAAAGGACTTCTATGGGGTGGTCTGCTGGGGAAGGTCTGGAGCCAGGGTGAGCAGAATTGGTAATGCACACCGAGTGTTCTCTTTGGCTGAATGCACTCTGTGCGTTTCATATTGATTCCTCCCTAAAACTCAGTAAAGGGCATCATTATCATTTGTATTTTACTGATGAGGAAACNGAAAAACCATTATTTTTAGAAAGGGTCCATAGGTTTTTCCCAAAAGGCCAGAGGGACCCCTGGGAGAAAATGTTTGAGAATGCTTGGCGTCAGAGGGAAACTGAGGCAAACGGCTCCATCCCACCGGCCTGGGCCCGATCCTACCCTGGTAGTGCAGCTGGAAGGTCCCCAGGCCATCGTCCTGGAAGGTCCGGAAGTAGACAGAGATGGTGTTGGTGGGGCTTCGGATCACCTGGCCCTCTACCAGGAGCGTCTGGTTGGCCAGGATGGTCAGGGTGGGGCCGTCCACCCCGCGGATGGAGAGCAGCTCCCCCTCGGACAGGTTGACACTCTTCACCTGGGACAGTCAGGGTAAGTCCTGTGTGAGCCACAGCCTTCTTAGGCTGCAGGCTGCCGGCGCAGTGCCCCTCAACCAGCCCCTAGTCGACGGGACAGGGACCCAAAGCCCCAACACTGGAAACATCTAGGTCCCTCTCATGTCCTCAAAGGCTGAGGGGACCGAGTGAAGCCAAGCTGAATGGCAGAGGCCTTGCAAGGATCTGTGAGTCCCCACAGCTGGGTCGTGTGACAGAGGCCCTGGGCCCTGGCAGCTAAGTTCTCCTGGAGCTGGTGGGTGGGGACAGGGGTTTGATTAGCTTGTGCTTGAAGCCCAGTCTCCAGGGACACAGGGGAAGGCATCCCCCAGAATGCAAGCTCCATGTTGCTCAGTTCACCACCCCCAGGCATGTCTCTTGAGTCCATGTTAAAAGGACTTCTATGGGGTGGTCTGCTGGGGAAGGTCTGGAGCCAGGGTGAGCAGAATTGGTAATGCACACCGAGTGTTCTCTTTGGCTGAATGCACTCTGTGCGTTTCATATTGATTCCTCCCTAAAACTCAGTAAAGGGCATCATTATCATTTGTATTTTACTGATGAGGAAACTGAGGCTCAGAGAGGCAAAGCCCCTTGCCCAAAGTCATGCAGCTTTAACTGCTAGAGCTGAGGCCCCAAACCCAGGTCTTGAAGCACTATGTCACCCTGATTTTCCATCTGAGTTTGCAGGCAAAGGTTTACCAATCAAATGAACTAGGTGGGGCTTCCCTGAGAGTGTGTGTGTGTGTGTGTGTGTGTGTGTGTGTGTGTTCGTCCTTGATAAGCAGGGTATCAGATGACTTTCCTTTTGGGAATAATGCCTCCCAATTTATCAGCAGGTCCCCTTCCCTTCATGTGTGCCAAGCTCTTTCAGCTGTGCACTGAGTTAGGAACTCCTATTCATTCGCCAAAGCCCAGCTCAAATTGCCCTGGTTAAGGCAAAGAGAGAATCAAACTAGTTAGGAGGATAAGAGTAAGCCTGACTCAGAGAGTTCTTCAGGGGCTTCCTGCTGGAAGAGGCAGCCCCTCAGGCGCCTCCCTGCGGTTACCTGGAGCTCCACCCCGTAGCCGGTGTAGACTGTCACGTTGTACGTGCACTCGAGGAAGTTGTTGAGGGGCAGCGGCGGGTAGTCGCTGGAGTCGATGTACCCTTCAGGATCTGAGAGGCTCACGCTGCAGAGAGCTGAAGGGGAGAGCTTTCATTAGGACACCGGCAAGGGCCCAGATGTAAGCCTCAGAGGGGCTACGGTGGAATAGGCCTCTGGGGAAACCTGGGGACCCCTGCCCCCACCCCTCCCACTGCTGTTACTTCTCTTTCAGCTCCAGAATCAACATGACAACCGAAAGAGCAATAGTCGACGTGGACTGATTACTTATTACACTACTAGGTGCCCTTCTGACCAGTGGATAGGGGGTGACCCCATTCACCCGTGGAGGGACTGATATTTTGTCCCCCTTGTAGAGATAAGTAAACCAAAGACCAGAGACGAGCAGCGTCTGGGCCAAGCTCACACAGCAATCAGGGTTCAAACCCAGGGCTCACACTGTTTAACGAGTGACCACATTGCATTTGTCCAAACCCACATATGATGGGCAGCGGGTGTCCCTCTGTTTGGAGATGGAAAAGGAGCGAAAAAGAGCGGAACACGGAAGCGCATTTTATCAAGTCTAGAGAAGTGCATGTAATGGTAAAAGTGAAAGCACTTCCAAAGGCTACGGCCTCCTGGGCAAGCTAAAGGGCTCTGTTCCAAGACCGAAAGGTTTTGCATTCATCCTGTCCTTTAGCTGTGTGGGCTTGGGCAGGTTGCCTGATGTCTTAGAGCCTCAGTTGTCCCATCTTTAAAATGGGGATATTGATTCTGAGCCACAGGCTCAAGCTCATAGCCAGTGTTCAGTAGATGGCAATCGATGGGGCCTGGATCTCCCTGCCCTGGCCCCCATGGCCCGCCCCATGTTGGTGCATCGATGGTGCTGCAGGGGCCGGAGTTGGGGCCTCGTACCTGGGGCCTGCTCCGTCGTGATGACCGTGGTGGTGATAATGGTGGACGTCGTGGTCTCCTGGCTCTCCTCTGAGGCCGAACCGGTCAGCTCATTCTCACCTTTGTCCATCAAGGTCATGGGACTGGCGTCGTCAGGAGGAGCCTCGTGGGCCTCCTCGGGCACCATGGCCTCCCCGGGGTCCGGCCTCTGGGGGAGCGTGTGGGCCACGTAGGGCTGCGAGGTGAAGGGAGAGATCTGCAGGGGGGCCGGCGTCGTGGGGACCGCACCTTCCTTCCTGTCCAGCCAGAGGGGCTCCTCTGACGGCAGCCGAAGGGTCTCCTCACTCTCAGAGGCTATGGGATCGGGGTCCCCCGGTGGGCCGGGCTTCTCCGTGGCGGAGGAGAGGAGACCCAGGCCTGGGGATGCAGGCTGGGACCCCACCCTCGGGAGGACTGCTGACGAGGTGGCCTTGGGTCGCGGCTGTTTCCTGGACGAGTTCATCTGCTTGAGCGACGACAGCTTCTTCCTGGGCAGGACGGTGAGCTTGGTGCTGGGCTCCTCGGGAAGCCGTGTGGACAGGGTCCCGGGGCCTGGATACACAGAGGGGACTGTCCCTTCCAGCTCCGGGTCCTGAAGCTCTTCCCCGGGCTGCGCTGGACTCGAAGGGGCGGGTGTCACTTTCCCTTCCAGGCTGTCTTTGCTCAGGCTGGTGCTCCCTAGTGCTCCTGAGGGCAGGAGGTATGTACCCGAAGGGCCGGCGTCTTGCTCCAGGGGTGCATCTTAGGAAGACGAGAGAAGACACCAGTTAGCTTGGGGCTGGGGGGTTAGGGCCTCCAGCTGCAACTAGACTCTGAGGGGGCCCTCAGGGGGCTCCCAAGCTTGTCGGGACGCAGGCCCGCCCGGTCAACAGCATGGGGCTGCTTCTCCCCCCCCCCATTCCTCCTTTCTCTCCACTACTTGACATTTTTTCTCTCCCTTCCCCCGTTTGCTGGCTGAGGAGATTGGGGTTGATCCCGCCAGGCCTGCGCCAAGCGCTAGGGCCACAGAGACCAAGGGCAGGGAGTTCCGCAGGCCAGCTGTGTGCGCTGCGAGAGGGACTGGGAGAGGAAAAGTAATCACACTCGACGTGATACATGCTATTTCCTAGACACAGGAAAGCTTGGGGTGCTGCTGGGAGAGAGGATAGGCCGCTAACCTGGCCTGGGGAGCAGGCCCCCCACGCGCGGTGGGGCAGGCTGTGCTCTGCACCGGGACGTGCCACCCGGAGGCTGGGTGGCGCTGTGACCAGCCTGCAGCTCTTCTTCAAGCTCTGTGCCTGGCTCAGGGCTCTGTTGCCCTGCGACGGAGGGGACATGGTTTTTTTTAAAAACTAAATAATACAAAAGTGACCTTGTGGGAGACACAGGAAGGTGTGAGGACTCAGAATCCTGAGGCGGGTTTGGAGGCCTGGCTGAGGTCAGCGGGAACGCAAGGGGACAGGAACAGAGGCGGCAGCTAATTCCGAAGAAAGTGGGGAGGTGGGGAGGTCATGGCCAGGCCCTGGTGGCCTCGTGTACCCTGCTGACGCCTTCTGATCTATTTTTGCCTTGAAAGTAAAATCACCCGGTAATCTTAAATAAGGGCCTCAGCAGCTGTTCGGCAGAACCACGCCTGAGATCAGCTTCGTGAACTTATTTGAAACCCATTCTGCCAATTGCATGCTGACAGTTGACTTTGCCTCTCTGAGCCTCAGTTTCTTCAGCTGTAAAATGGGGCTTTAATTGCTTTAATTCCCTATTTCCCAGGGTTGTCCTCAATCAATATGTTAATGCACGTGGAACACACATACATATACGTACATATGGGTGCCTCACCCCCAGTGAGTGCCCAGGATGTGCCAAATGCTGTCACCGTTTTTACTGTCATCAGAACACGACCCTCAGCACGAAGCTGGAACAATCAGGATGTGCCCAGTGATGATCTCGAGATAGAGAGGAATTACATCCTGGGGACAGGGTGCTTGGGCTGAGAGCTGTCCTTGTCAATTTTCTACAGGGAGACACTCAGCCAGAGTCTCCAGCCCTTCGGCCCTGTCATTTAAATTTATTTCCACAGCCGTTGGAAAGACTCATTCACTTTCCCGAAGTCAGCGGCAGTGGCTTAATCTATATAGACTGCAACAGTTTGCAAGTGGCACCAACAAATGTCCCTGTTGTGTTACAGTGATTACCAGCCGGTGTGCACTGCAAGCTGACAGCGGTGCCGGGGCAGGAGCGGGCACGGGGAGGAAAGGACGCGTGGGTGACCTGAGGGCCAAGCATGTTTCCTGGTCCAATGCTGAGGCTTCCGAGGTGAACCTGGGTTCAAATCCTGCCTTGGACAGCTACAAGCCGCAGGCGCCTGGGCAAGTCCGTGAAGCCTCTTTTGAGTAACAGAGACATTCCATCTACCTCATAGGGGTAGGTGAGATGTGGGTCTTCCCCAAAGCCGTGGCTTTTATGCTCTCAGTGACTTTTATCAAATGGTTGACGTTGACTGTCTTTGCAGACTGTGTAGTGAGGATAGGGTGATCGGACAGAAAGAGTGGAGTCTAAAGGGTCAGGAAATCTAGCCCTTGAGGCCTGATGCAAAGAGCTGGGAGGCAACCAGGGGCTGGGGGACCTGGGCAGTGGTCCTATTCTGGCCTCTACTCCTAACATACATTTGTGTAAATCTCTCCTCTCTCTGTGTCAAATGGGCCGCCCGGGGTTGGTGAGGGCCGAGGGCCTCTCCAGCTCTGACGCTGTCAATTTCCGGACTGATCGGGGAATTGGCCATTTTTCCTAGAGCCTTTTGTTAACCTTGTTTAAAAAGGGGCAAAGTGACAGCCCCGATCCTGACATTGGCCTGTGAGTTTCGTTGAGTCCTGTGGCTACATTGGTTTCAGCCAGTCCCTTCACAGAAACGTCCCTTTGGTCTCAGTTGGGGCGGGCGAGAGAGAGGAAGAGGGAGAGGGAGGGAAGGAGGGAGAAAGAGAGTTTAGGAAAACACGTTGTGTCAAAGAAGGCGACAGAAGGGTTACAAATGGCATAAAGCAAGGCAGTGTGCCTTGCCTTAATAATAGGAATATCTATTGTCGATTATTTTATCAAATGTTGAATATGGGCCAGGCATGCGCTAAATGCTCTGTTTTCTCATTTAATTCTTCATTCCCCATTTTTAACCTCATTGAATGCTTTCTTGGCCTTATTAGGTAGAGATTATTATTCCTATATTACAGATGAGCAAACTGAAGCTTGGGGACGTTAATGTTCTAAGGTCACCGAGCAAAGCTGGGTTTCCGACCTCGGTTTTCCCGATGCCAAAGCCCATGCTACTGACCCTCTTAAGAATTACGGGGCATTGTGATCACCAACAGCCTCCTATTCCTCCTCAGCTTGAAGCAGCCTCTGCCCCCCAGCTCCTCTCTCTCTAACCCCTGTTCTGTTTGCATCTCTGCCGGGTGAGCTGGTATGTTTTCCAAACCTCCCAATGATACTCCCCACCCCCCATGCTCCTTGTTACCAAAAAAATTATTGGCCTCCTCGGCAGACTCATCACGTCTAAGTCTCCAGGGGAGGGTCTTGAAAGCTGAAGTTGGAAAAGCACCCCAGGGATTCTTATTTTCATGGTTCTCGGGTACGTTCATTTCCTGAACTTGTGATCTCACCTAACCTCCTACGCGTCCCTCATTCCTTTTGTCTCCTAAGTGCCCGGAGCTGCACGTGGCAAGTTTGGGCAGCAGGTGGTGACTCTTTCCAAGGCCTGTGACCTCCCCTGGCCATTCCAGCCCTTGGAGATCCAACACAGCCAACGAGAGCAGAAGGAAATGCGAGGGAAAGATTCCACAACCAGCTTCCTCCCGCTGCCACGGGGTCCTCGGGGTGAAACAGGTGAGAACCACAGCAGCTAGGAAACATTTTAGGGAGTTGATCCAGCTGGACGACTCAGCCCTTTTCCTGTGAAAGCCAGACCACCAAGGACAGTTGCATATCACCAGGTAAATTTACCTCCCTGCCCCCCCCCCCC